GATATTTCCAGAAAATTCACATGCCTAGGAGACTTTTGAAATTTATGATATTTTGAAAACGTATTTCTCAGGGGCTACGTATGCGACCCGCCGTTAAATGCAAGAAACCTTGATCTTCACTACCTCATCCTCAAATTCACTGAACAAAAAACTCCGGCCGTGGAAGCCGTATATGATTACGGGCTACATAGACATACCATCCGCGTTCCGGGCTCAGAGGCCGAAAGTTCCGGGAGTAGCACCCGGAGCATCCGAAGCTACGGCTCCAGCACCTGGAACTTTAGGCCTCCGAGCCCGGAACGAACGGTATGTCTATATAGCCCGTAACTTTGTTTTCAGTTTTGGATTTTTTCTCTACACCATAAATATCTGAAATTTCCGGATATGTTTTGAGAGAAATTTAATGATTTTAGATTTCATGAAATTTCGCCACTCTGCCGATCTGACAACGGTGTCGGGGACGTTTTCTGGACGAGCACTTATTCTCTCGGGCGGTTCGCACGGTTTCAGTGAGTTATGTTTGGCGGGCGCCAGGCCGGGCCGGGTGCGGGCCGTTGCATAAGCGCCGGCCGAGGCGAGACGCGGTCTGGTCTGAAGCTAGTCGAGAGGGCGTCCCACCATCCCCCACCCTCCTCGCCCATCAAGGCCAAACAGTGACGGTGGCATACTGACTCAGTTTCCAGCCTTTGCCTTTGCCAGAACTAGCCTTTGGGCTGGAGCGTGGGATCCGCGGACAGACGCAACGCCAACGGATCGCTCTGACACTGTCCCCGCCACGTAGGGTCGTAGTCAGTCGCTCCTCAAACACAGAGACCTTTAATCGATGTCTTGGCAATGGGAAAATGTCTCTTTTTTCCGATGCTACGTTACGGATCTCTTAAATTCACTTTTGATTTGTCTATCCATTTCAATAAGCAGTGTGCCCTGACATCCGTGCCATCAATGAGGCGACCGCAACAGACCCATCCATCAGCACGAACCAATCACTGCGCTGCCCACCAGATTCACTAAGTCTCTCGTATTTCACGAGATATAGGGTGAATTCATATCGCGTGTTGACCAAAGTAAAACGAGGAGCTGGTTGACGAGAAAATACGGATTTACTGAATCAAATTCGCCTACGTATCCGATTCAACGCGAAAATTTTCTTGAAATCAGAATGTGATTATGCGACCGTTGCAACTAACCCATATACTGTCAAGCTAAAGAGGAGCCGTATGAACATTCAAGCGTTTACAAATTTCCCCTGATGAAAGATTTACTTTTGAAGAAAGTTATAAATATTTTTCCTTGAAATTTTCAGATACTTTAGCTTAAATGGAGATGTTGCATGAGTGAGGAATTTGCGATTTGACCGTTAAATCTTATGTAAAAGTTCGCGAGATACACGATGGTGCCCTCTGATTTTTTCTGAAATTAACTCCCAAGCTCATAAAAAGCTCTCAAGTTGAGGCCAAAATGGAGGGGATATCCCACCCTACCCTGAGAGTCCACCTCTACATCAAGACGAACTCTCCATGCAAAGATAGAGAGCAAATACATTGACAGGGCTGCCGTGTTTTCAGTTTTAGAGTCCCCAAATAAAGTGGCAGCCCTGTCAATGTATTTGCTCCCTACCTTCGCATGGAGAGTTTGTTTCGATGTAGCGGTGGACTCTCAGGATAGCGTGGGATATCCCCTCCATTTTGGCCTCAACTTGAGAGCTTTTTTTGAGCTTGGGAGTTAATTTCAGAGAAAACCAGTGATAAAATCGTGTTCCTCGCGAACTTTTACCCAAACATCAATAGTCAAATCGCAAATTCCTCACACATGCAACATCTCCATTGCAAACGATAATCTCTGAAGAATTGAACGAGAAATATTTACAGGTTTTCCAGAAAAACGAATTTTAACACAGGGAATCTGGCAATGTCCGAAAGTTTGTACGTTGTTTTTCCATAGCAGAGCAGCATTGGCCTACGACCCGTTTCATCAGGCTGGATCCCATCTGATAAGCCGTCGGACGAGGCGAATTCTGGCAAGCGCGCCCGCAACTAATCACACAAAACCACTTTTCATTTCTACGGCTCAAACGCGGGCGATTGACCCACTTTCGGACTCGGGATGGATTCGGAGCGCAGGTGGGACGCAGGGCAGGTCCCCCGCCTTGAACCCCCGAGAAACCGCCGATTTACATGGGGTTCGTGGCGGCGTTGCGCGCTTTTGGAACGGTGCGCCATCTGTCGACGGGAGGCTCAAATAAAGGCTACAATGTTGCGGGATGCGGTTACTCAACAGGTGCCGGAGTGATCTAGATTGCGCCTCCGGATCACCGAACCCTGCTCTGCAAAGGCTCACACGGTTGCCACACGGTGCTGCTAAAAATTCAAACATGGATATTTCTCCCACGTGATGTACAGTAGAGTACCAGCGGACTGATTATTTAAATTGATAGACAAAGAAGACATAGAGTAAGAAGCGATCCTATAGGTGGAAACGGGTGGCTCTTATAGACTGAGGGAGAAAATGATGGACTGAGTATCGGGCCTCTCGTGGGTTGCCGTTAGTTAGTCTATCACCCACGTCCTTTGTCCGTTGCAACCACCCGCTTCCACCAATAGGATCCCTCCAAATCCCTTTCGTCTTCTTTGTCTATAGCTGTGTCTATCAATTTCAATAATTGACCCGCTGTAAGGGAGAGTGCGGTGGAGTTCTTCTGTCGTCTTCGGCAAAAGCGCCGCAACTCCATTCTAGATTTTGTCAGCTGTTAATTGACAAAATGATTCATTACCGAAAAACTAACGAACGTTTGTCCCACTGGAAAAAAAGGTCCCTCAGATCTAGAGTCCAGACTCTTAATAACACTGACAAGAATAAAACTCTTGATTGAATCTGATTTTTCCTTGAATCGAAGAGCCCAGCCTCTTAATTTAGGCGGATCTCCTTTGGATTCAAGCAAAAAGTCCGATTGAATCATGAGCATTTTTTCTTGTCAATGCTTTAAAGAGTCCGGACTCTAGATTCAAGCGACTTCTTTTTCCAGTGCTTTCTTAATTCTGAAATAACTATGGCATACCATTGAGAGTTCAAATTCACAAAATAAAGCATCATAGTGATCAGGTTTACTCGTAATAGGGCAGCATACGTGGAAGAAAAATGCAAGGTTTTGATGGAAATTGCGGCGTTTTTCCTGTGGATGGCAGTCTTAATCCGAAAGGGCAGTTTTTGTGCAAGGAAAAATTGATTTTTGGGTTACCCGGGTTCCCCATTGATTTCTGCGCTAGTTTACCGCAAACTGTACAAAAATTAAATAGAAAATGTGGAATACATTGTGTTTTACTAACATCCATTGATTTTCAGCCTCTGGGGTTGAAATCGACTTACTAAAAGTAATCACCCCAGTTATGACGAAATATTCAATGCACGGACGTATTCTTTCATACCTTTCAATAAATTTTATTAAATATTGCGCATAAAATTTCAATTCATTGAAATTTGGCAACCCTGCCTGGCATCGATGGTTGGAGCCATTATGTTCCTTGGATTTATGTCCAACGTCGCGGTGCATTTACCAGTGTGAGTTGGTAATTGACCGGGCCCTGCACCAGTAATTGATTCTTGATTAAAAAGTATAAAAACGCAATCAGAAACGTGCCGCACTTACAACCGCTGGATCAAACCAGCTTTTAAAGATTACGCGGGGGGTCAATAAGAGGGTTGCTTATGAAATCATTGTCAAAATGCTCAATGAGTGGATTTTAGTATGCGAGTTTGCAGGCATAGGCTGAACGATAATGTGCAAAATGCTTTGGCTTGTTCTACATATCTCTGATAGAAGATTTCATAGGCCATCGATGAAAAATAATTATTTTTGAATAATTTTAATATTTTAGACTATTCTTCATGATTCGCAAAAACAGGTTGAAGAAGATCGCTTGCAAGCCTTTACTTGACGTGAAAACCGTGTATCCGAATTCAATATTTCAAATTTCCCTTTAAATTCAATAATTCCCGAGGGTGAACAATACAATGTTTTTTGGAAACAATCTAAAATCTTGATTGATATTACTAAATTAAAATGTAATATGAACCGATCATATTTAGGTACTTTTTCCTGACAATGATGAAAAAAGGATACAACTCCTGATATGATACGTGTGTTTTTTCTACCTCAGTCGACCATGCTACTTCAGTGCAGTTCTCTCTTAATGGGTAACAGTATGGCTATAAATATAAATTTTAGGGCATTTCTTAAAATTTCATTGACTCGAAAACTGAAAGAAAAACACCAATCGCAGAAGGATCACTTTAATCAAAAGGTAACCCTAACACCAAGGTGATGAATGAGGCAAACTGTACACACTCTTCCCTCTCCGGAATAGACGAATGGCCTCTTGAAAGGCGGTTACATGGGGCATCTTGAAATATCGGTCATGTTCATTGACATTATTCATGATAAACATAAAGTTGTTGAAAGAGCCATCGACGCGGAGAAAAAAACTTCGTGCGTGGGACTCACAGTTTAGGTCATATGGATCTCTGCAGTTTTCGGATTGAGCATCCGAACACTTAAGGTCCAGGTGCTGAGGTTTGGATCACACATCTGAAACTTCAGTTCTTACATCTGAAGTACTTCGGTTTTCACATCCGAAAAACTTCGGTTCTCACATCTTGTAGTACTTCAGATGTGAGAACTGAAGCTTCAGATGTGTGATCCGAACCTCAACAGCTAGATCTAAAGTGTTCAAATGCTCAATCTGAAAACTTCAGAGATCCATATATGACCGAAACTGCGGGTCCCACGCACGAGGTTTTTTTTTTCCGTGTACATCGAATCTCCGATTGGCACGAAGCCATGAAAACTTCTGAAGTCTGAAAGGCTTTTAACTGCGGCTGACCATTTCCTATCGTTCAAAACTTCATTCTTTACATAAGATTTTTGTACGCTTGCTTTTCACCTATGTTGGAATTTTCTCGTAAAATGTCAACTCTGATCTCATATATAGTTTTTTGTGTTGCAGCTTTTCATTTTGGCAGCCCTCTTCGCAGTGGCCACCTGCCAGTACGTCGCCCCCGTCCCCGCCTACAAACCCGCCTACGCCGCCCCCGCCTACAAGGTGCCCGAGCCCGTCTACCCCGACGCCCACCCCGCCTACAAGTTCGCCTACAACGTCCACGACCCCTCCACCTACGACGTCAAGAGCCAGGAAGAGACCCGTGACGGCGACTACGTCTCCGGAGTCTACACCGTCGCCGAGGCCGACGGAACCAAGCGAGTGGTCACCTACGCCGACAACGGACACGGGTTCGAAGCCGTCGTCTCCAAGGAAGGCGCCGCCCCCGCCCCCTACGCCCNTACGCCGCCCCCGCCTACCCCGCCCCAGTAGCGCCCGCCTACCCCGCCCCCTACCACGGTTAAGTCATGCCCTCATCATTCATCATCAGGAGATCTGAACGACCTCCGGTTGCGAGCCCCTTCAACGTATACGATACTTGGTATGCAGGCATGTGCTGCAGTTATATAGATTCCAAGACTCAGGGGTTTGTACCGCGGATTGTTCAGTTTCTTCGCTCAAACCTCATCAAGGCCGTGGTTTAGAAAGCTCGAAGGGGTTCGATTTATCCTTGAGAGCTTTCGCACCAACATCATCTCATGTCCACGGCTGACCTCATTACCTCATTCCCACCTCGCGTCTTCCTTCCCCACTCCTTTGGTATCCCAGTGGTGGAGAAATCTCTTAATTTCACGTTATTTTAATGTGAGTTTCGATGAGTTCTCCGAACCATCCGGTGATGGTCAACGAATGTGATCCTGTATTCCCCTCCCTGTACACCACCCTCCCTCGTCCACTGTAAATAAACTTCCCCCCCTTCATGCTCATCTCATTATCATGTTATATTTATGTAAAATTGTCGAGGCGATTGATTTTCCAATCGCTGTAAGAATTTAATACTCTTAGTACAAACAAATTTATTGTATATTTTGCTTCGAATAGAGTCAAATTTTTTAAATGTTTTCTGACTTCAGTCCTTTCCACAAATGAAAGTTAGGAGACCTCAACAATTTTGATGAAACAATTGCTTAGGGTGGCATTACTTGAACAAAATTTCTGGCAAGGGTATCAAGGGTGAGCATAGAGTCTAGTATCTCGGACACGATACTACAAATACATTTGCACTGGATACGTTCTTATACTGAACATTTGTGTACATAGTAACCTAATAGTCACGGTGCAACATATGTATGTGCGAGTTACAAGGTAGTGTTGTACTTCGAACAGAGCATCATTAATTTTTTCAAAAAGGAAAACAATAAGTTCAATTTTCTTTTCCAAGGTTTGCAAAAATGGAAAATTATTGCCTAAAAGATGTTTTACACTTGCTTTGGCTGGCCTCCTGCATGAAGTTATAACCAAGGAAGAAGTAAAAAGGTGAAAATGTGTCCACAGTAGGTACAACAGGCTCTCCTATCATTTGCAACTTTAAATGAATTAATTAATTAATTCATTCATTCATTCAGTTACACGAGGAAAGTCATCAACATAGGACGCACTGATTCCTCAATTAACTTTTTGGGATCCTACTCTTTTACTTGTACGTAATGATCGATGCATCCAAACGTGCTGATGGCAGGGGAAATGCGCTCATCAAGAAGTGAAATTCACGTCGAAGCGTAAAATTTATACGCACATATGAAACGTACTTTATACTCATTTTATTGGGACTTTTTGTTTTTTGACGATGTCTACGTTAAAACACAATATTTCCACAGAATAATCACTGAATAGGTCTCGTGTGGTAAACTCTTTTCGAAGAGGACTGTTCTGGGAAAAAACACAAAAACTCCAGAAATGTATAATTTTCTTTCCTAGAACAGTGGGTACATTTTAATTCATCATACACAAAAATCTAGCATGTCTAATATTTCATTTGCTCGGAATTTCAATATAAAGATTAAGTCGCATCGTAAAAATTAAGATGTCTTACTCCACACACTCTTGGGTCATGGAATGTCCTCGTAAACTATCAAACAATGTCCAGGGCTTCATAAGTAAACTTGTTTGCCTCTTTTTTATGTAAACTTTGACTTTCCAGACTTATCATCTGATTCATAGTTTCTAAAAGTAAAAGAATCCCTGTCGTTGTTATATTTTTATTCATTGATATGACCGTCAAAATAATTCAGCAATATCGATTTAAACTGATCTTGGAAAAATAATTAATTCTCTTAAAATATATAAACTCGAGTAGAATGAGCTAGTCTAAAATACGACGAACAGTAATTAGAGCAAAACTCGTTTTCGAGTTCATCTCGCCTAGTGCTACGCATTTCGAAGATGAAACAATTAGAACGCATGATGACAATATATTTACAGTGAAATGAACTTCTTTTTTTTCCATTAAATATTTTATACTCTTATTCAAACTTGCTTCGTCTAAATTCCTTCTAAAAATCTACTTAGCTGGGAATAGGTAACCAAGCAAAATTAGGTAAAATAACAGAAATTTGTCTTTGGAGGATACATTTTAGATCAAGGTTAATTTGACTGGTCTGATTTCCGACGACTGCATTGTAGATGGACTATACTTTGCAATTAAGAGCTACTATTTCCAGCTTATCCACAAAATCACATACCTGCGTAAAAAAACTTACGGTACGTTCTCTGTCTTTACAATGATACGGAAATTTTTATTCTTAATTGCAAAATGTAGTCTTGATGATAGTTAATTTAATTGGAGTGTGAGATGGGCTGAATCTCTAAAAATCTAAAAATTTTTAAAATATACATTGACGGAAGAAATAGCGAAAAACTAAAAAAATAAAAATGAAGCCACACACCACTTAAACCTTACAGGAAACATACGTGAGATATATGCACGTCATTGAGTGACTTTCTTGCAATTCGGTAACTCATGCAAACATGTACAACACAATTTAACATTTCTGTTTAAACAAGACCATAATAATTTGGCACCGTTTAAATCACTGTATGGATAAAACGAAAAAGTAAAGAGTATACCAATCTTCCGAAGGACAATTATTGATGATGAAATCAATTTTAAAAAATAAATCCAAAGAAGACTGTGCGTCATCTTTTCCTACTCGTGCGTTTAAGTCTCTCCATTTTATTTAACAATAATATATTTTGGAATTGAAAAGTACTAACTCTGGCTCCCAAAAAGGGGAGACTTATCACCTAATAGCACTTGGCGCCTTACAAAAGAACATGTAACTGTATTTTAATGTTGCCAAATCCCCCCCCCCCCAACTGCATTCTTACCAGGAGAATCTTGGTCATTTCTAACTAGAAATTTCACTGATTTGTTTCTAATCTCATACAAAAACAATGGTTATTTTGGACACTAATTGCACCCAAGCATTCTCCAAAAAAACTTGAATTGTTTCAGTCAGATTTGCAGCCTCAAGATGGAAGTACGAGAAGATGCAAATTGCAAAATGAAGCGTGCTTGAATTGTCACACAAGCGAGCCGTAACAAAATAAAAAACTGCGTTAGCTTGTAAAAAAGTAAAATTTATAAAAAAATTGACGATATATTTATTTTAAGTATCCGACTTAATTTCCAGAGTTTTCATGGACTTTCATTTTTCAGTTAAAATATCTCTATTTTAGAACATTATGACGAAAAATATAACAAAAAATGAATAATATAAAAATTCCAGCTTGTAGGTGTCCCATTTTGCACAACAAGAGACGGCTGTAAAAAAGTTAGCGGAAATTTATATTGAAAATTTCATATATCTTCAAAATATTATATGCAGAACAAGTTGAGCGTACCTACAACTTTCGAAAATAACCGATAAAAAGGTAATCTAGAAATTGCTAATCCACATCAGAATCAATAAATTCAAACCGTGCTCCACTTTCTTTGATTTTAAAGGCTAGAGAACTTTTCAAAAAAAAGGTGGCACGAAAAAATATAATATTTCCTCGTAAAATACATTGAAATCAGTATAGTGCTCGCTTTAAGTCAAGCTAAGTCGACTCAGTTTTTGGTGTGAGAGAGAAGTTTCAATTGGACGGATTTATATCAAAAGGAACTATATCCATTGCGACATGAACCCTGTCATGCATGAATTCCAATGGGTATCAGGGCTCGTGTCAGGAGGAATGGATATTTTCCCTTTTGATTTAAATTCGTCCTTTTCATCGTCTCGCACATGAAGATAGGTGCGACTATTCATAATAGCAAAATCGCTTCAAACAATCCAATTTGTTGAAGAAATAAGACTGTGAACTTTCATTTAAAATTTTGCGCATATTTGCGTATGATCAGAGAAAAAATCAGTTATACGTTTCATTAAAAGTGAGCGACAATTTTCTACTGAAAATACTAAGTATTTGCGAAGAAATATTTTGCAGCATAGAAGGTATTCAGTGCATACATTCGAATGAAAAACGACGAGTTCGTCGCTTGGCTAACAAAAGGGCGTAACTACACTTAGAGATGAGCTCAGCGGGCTGATTCTTGAGATCGATAGACAAAGTGGTTGACAAGGAAGACAAATTGAAAATAAAGCGGTCCTATTGGTGAAACAGGGTGGTTGCAATAGATCAAGGGTGGTAAGTAATGGACGAACACTAATGGCAACCCACGAGAGACCCTTTAATTAGTCCATCATTTCCTCCCTCAGTTTAGTGACCCCCTGTTTCAACCAGTATAGGATCGCTTCATGTTTCCTATGTCTTCTGCGCCTATCGCCATGTCTATCAATTTCAATAATCAACCCGCAGGAGAGCATAACGTTATTTCACACTATGCGTTCATTTTGAAAAATTTCAATTTGCCCACCGAACTCAACATACAATTTCGATCGAGAAACATGTACGGTGGTAATCAATTATTCGCACCCTGTTTCAATGTGGCCAATTGAAATAGCCTTTTAAAATCTAGCCTAGAAAACGTTGAACGTCTACAACGAATACCGTTGGATACAAATTCGTGTTCATAAAATCTCACTTGATTCAGATGGTATGAATGAAGTGCTCAATAAGAGAGACGTCGAATGCGCTGGGGGGACCATCAAAATTCAAGAGGATATTATCGGAATAAAAAGAGTCACGCATTCAGCACGCGCCCCGATCGGCGCGTGCGAACAATCGCAGACACGAGCGCGTCGAGTCATTTGAATATCACGAGTATATCATGCTATATTATGCTATTATGCTAATCAGCTTGTCTACGAAGCCGCGATACGAGACGTTCGACAAGAATATCTTGTTGCCGTCTGCGTCAAGGCATGGCATCGCCAGTGCAAAGCGTTGCCGTTTTCCGCCGTGCAGTCTAAGTAAAAGTGCAGGCTGATGTAGCTACTTACACAGAGAAAAAAAGTTCGGTCATGTAAACCGGGTGTACGGCGTTCAACCGTGCATCGACCATATTGTTCGGTTCATGCGACCGCACTCTCGGTTCTAGGAACCGTATTCTCGGTTCATGCAACCGAGCTTTTTCATTGGTTCTGTTCGGCTGCATGAACCGAGGATACGGTTCCCAGAACCGAGAGAGCGGTCGCATGAGCCGAACAGTACGGTCGATACTGAACATCGCACATTCGGTTCGTGTGACCAAAGTTCTTTTCTCAGTGTATCTTCTTCGATCTTTTACTTCATTGCTTTTAAGGTAGACCTAAGTAACCTAGAATAAAAGCGGTTACACAGTAAGAAAAAGTAACAAAACTCGTGTGTTTATATGGGAAGTAAAACACGAAGTAACACGAGCTGTTGATTGATTTTTTGTGTGTTAGTCTTCCCTGCGTCAAATCGACCAAATCTTTCTGTAACAAATCTGCGACCTCGTAAAAATTAGTCGCCAGCCGCCAGAAGCTAACCTGGATCACATCAGCGGCAATCTAATGTGCTAGCCACTCGCAAATCGCAGCCTCCTAGTGTAAAGAATAAAACAAGTGTACGTTACTTCGGATAGACACTTTCTTCATGATTCGATGTCTCAAATAGCCTGTGGTTTGGGTCGATTTGACACAAAATTATGTTGAGA